GCTATGTACGTGTATAATTCATGATGAACAAGACAAATTAAATGTAAGCCCATCATTAATCTCTTCATTTCATACTACCCACCTCTGCTCTCTCCACTAATACATAAATATATTTTATGTACCGTTAATAAGAATGCTTATGATTTAAATAACAAGAATGTTTATGATTTAAATAATAAGTATTCAATAAATATAAAATAAAAAAAAATTGCTCGCATATACAAATACAGAGACAAAACACAACAAATCTGAGGCAATGAGAGATGATGATTAAGAATTAATTTGAGTTTCACTACAAATGACGCAAGATAAATAAACACGACAAACAGAAGACAATTTTGCATGGCATATCAAAATAAATTGTAGCATTTTTTTTTACACAATAACAATTATCAGATCCAAAGTGTGCCTGGTTACAGATACATGTTTACAGACAAAAGAAAATATTATGGAATTTGTTTGTTAACATTACTGTAACTAGCTTAGTTATGCTTTAGTCTTTGTTATACCTAACACAACCTCATTATTTCCTTATAATCAGATAAACATTTAAATGCTGCCTTTGTAAGTGGTTTAATAATTAAAAAGAATATCAGATCCAACATAATATCTGTGGCTAAAATAGATCAATAAAACCATTAATGATTGTCAAGGAAAATACAGAATTGTACTAAACCATACTAATGCTAAGTGGAACAAATAAAGCATATTTTTAGAAACTTAATGAGGAATGTGAAACACAAAATAATGAACCACAAATAAAGCTAGAATAATAATAATTACAATCCACACGTATGAAATTTAAAGAAATTACGTTTCAATCTCTCGTGGGTTCTTAATCTTGTTATGCTATGATAAGAGTCCGACATAGCAAAAACATCATCACTTTCATTTCATATGTACGGGTTGTGTTATATATTTCCTCCACGCTATTGTGACTTATTTTCTGTACTTGAATAATAATCAAGTTTTGATGTAAATTATGATAAAAAAAAATTCTTTTCTCTTGACTAGAGACGGTTAAACTACTGTACAGCATAAAAAATCTTATGGATGTCTCCAGGATGGAATGCATGAACAAAATTCAGTGGAGTGTATATGTATATATAGTACAACCACCATCCTAATCAGAAAATAAGGTTGAATTTGATTGTGCATGAAATATCTTGGGCAAGAGATTGCAATACATTTACCATAAAAATTTAATAAAAAATATAGAAATTTTTAATTTCTCATGTAATTCAGCCAACTGAGTTTCATCAGTCCATTCAAGAGGCTCCACTTTAGTTACGCAGATTGTCTGCTAATTATTAATAATCTTACAGAAAAAGAAAAAAATCCAACATTCAGATCCTATTTAAAAAAAAAATCATTTTTCCTGCTACCACACTACTGAAATATTTAAGATGGAGCTATTATTTAGGAGAAAACTTGCACGAGTGACAAAGTAAAGTAGTGTACCAGGCGAGACCTGCCGAAGGATCACAGGGCGACCTATCACATCTATGCAGAACTCTTAGGCACGTGTTGGTGGGAGGCATCACATGAGACTTTAAAGACATTATTTATCGCTGCGATTCTACAAGGATGTTGTATTCATCACTTGCATTTTTCTTATTTATTGTGGCAAGATATATATTTAAGCAATTAAATAATTTTATGAAAAATTAACACAAATTTAATGACAAAGTCCAAAATAAAATTGTTGCTGCAATATCCCACATTAGAAGACTAGGAATCAACCATTACAGTAGAATACCCAATGTCATATTTAAATCAAGTGTAACCAGAGATTTAATTACTTTCAAAAGATCAATAAAACAATTAACATCCGTAATGAGCCAAGATGAACTATATGTCATGTGTTTAGTGCATCTCACAGTGAAACTGGCTTAAACAGCTCTTCAGCAAATATTTGAATCATTAGCCATGGACACTTGAATGAGTCTTGAAGTACGGAAATAAAAATGTCTATGAAAGTGCCTCCATTAATCATTACTGTAAATGTTTAAGTCATCATGATACAGGTAAGTTGATTATTTAAGTCTATGGTTAATGAAAAACATTACAGAACCATTTTTTCAAAATACACTACGTGATAGCCAAAGATATGTCTAAAATATGTAAATATGTTATATATTTGACTAAAAATAAAATCTGACAACAAACTAAGAGATATTTGTCATCATAACTCCAGCACATTTCACTGAACACTAGAAGTGAAAGACAGGATGATAGCTCATCACTGTTGTCAGTATTTGGTATTCTACTGTAAGTCAAAAGCAGAAATGGCAATTTCAACAATGACCATCTAGGCATTGTGCACTCACGCTTTAAAATATAATAATATGTGAACCTCCCTGTGGCCTCCAACCATCAAATGGAAAGCTAACAAGTGACAATTCCAACCTGTTCTAAGAGCAAGACAGAAACCAGAGGCATCACGGAGCAATAGGTCATGAATGGCTGACACTATGAACAATATTGTTCACTATGTACACAATACGTCAACTATATGCTTTCCTTTTCCATACTAACATGAAACATGTGGCCAGCGAGCTTACTCACTCCTTAGAAATTATGTTTAGCCATTGTAACTCATAATATTGACTTGATATGGCCAAACACAATTTTCAGTATGTAATAAGCCCAGGAACTGCTGAACACATGAATGTGTGACTAATACTTTTTAGAATATACATTATCACTATTTCTACAGAAACTGCTCTGTAACATTAACTTTCATGCCTACACAAAAGTCAGAGTATTTTTCTGTGACCCCAAATAACAACATATGTCTTCACTTTAACAATACTTAACAAACAATACATGTTTTGAAGTTGAACATTACATACTGTTAACAAGAAAAGCAGCTCTAAACAGAAATCAAAAGAAACAAGAAAGACAACCCAGTTATGTAACTCTGAGATGGCCAATGAAACGCTACACCAAGTTCCGTAACAATGACGTACAACAGAAAAAGTATGACCAACACCAACATACTAACCTAACCTAACAGTGTCAAAGTAAAGTTACTTGTAAAGACCTACACCCATTTATAATATCCTTTGTATTTCAAATAAATAAATGGATAACTAAAATATATATATATATATATATATATATATATATATATATATATATATATATATATATATATATATATATATATATATATATATATATATATATATATATATATATATATATATATATATATATATATATATATATATATATATATATATATATATATATATATATATATATATATATATATATATATATATATATATATATATATATATATATATATATATATATATATATATATATATATATATATATATATATATATATATATATATATATATATATATATATATATATATATATATATATATATATATATATATATATATATATATATATATATATATATATATATATATATATATATATATATACACATATCATATATACATATACAGAGGAGCCTCGGTTAATGAATTTAATCTGTTCC